TATACATGTAGTTATAGTCCTTTCTTAGGCCACTGGGTTCACCATTTTGGAGGGTTGATTTGAGTCTTGAATATATGTAAATAGTCTTCAGCAGTACTAGAAATGATGTACAAAATAGCAAATGCTCATGAAGATACATCCTTTATATCAGAGCTGTCGTTATTTTGATAATGGTCTCTACAATTCAAACACCAAGATGAAAAGCATTACCTCTTTCAGCATTTTCATCAATACTAAATTGATCTGGTGAAAAAAACTGTGGACCTGATTCATTCTTACTAGCTTCACTTTTCTCATGTGTTCTTTCATTATTTCTAGAAAATATTTTCTTTATCCACACATTTCCATTATCTAAAAATAAAAGATGCATGGGTTTCTTATCTTATCAATAACGAAAAATTGTAAAACAGCGTTAAATAGCACTTACTTTCGAAAATCACCCAAAATAACAGAGCAAGTTAGTCTGTTAATTACCAAAAATTCTTGATACTGTTAAATCATCCGAGTTTAGTATCAACACATTGCATAATTTCCAATCCAATTTACATTGCTAGCGATTATTCGTCAAATGTGTCCCAAAAAAAAATTAATATCCCTAAAGATGTCAAAAAACAGTACATAACATGGCAATAGGCTAACTAAATTCTTCTCAAGCTATTTGTACTATTTTTGAAAATTCCTTTTAAAACAAAATTTGCAAATAATTATGACAAGGCATTTAATTCATGTAACAGTAGACTTAGGATGGAATAAAATGATTATTAAACTGGATGTGTAATCATATAAACATACATATATCTGGTTTAATCTGTCTACCAAATGTTGAACCTAAATAAGTCAGTAATTTAGGTGTTTCTCTAAATATTTCATCAGTCTTATTCACAGAATAACAACCATCTTCTATTTTTATTGGGTAAGTCTGTTTTTGTCCACATGAATTATAGCTGTGAACTGTATATTTTTCTTCCTTCATATCTTGTGCAATAAGGTAAACACTGGTTATCCCCATATTTGTTTTCTCAAAAGCATTCAATTTTTTCGACATCATCGACTCAGCAACATCCATCCTGAAACATTTCCATTTTTTAAATGTTAATGCTGTAAGCTAATTTTACCTAAATTGTCAATATGTGTCTATTTTTACTTGATGGTGTATACAAATATAATTCTACTTACGTCATTGGACCAAAACTGTTTAATTCTTTAAGGAGTGATTTTGAAGCAGAGCTGTCTAAATCTTTAGATATGTCTATATGATAATTTACCATTATTCTATAATATCCCAATAACTTGTATGCAAATGATAAACCATCCAGATAGTCAAACTTTGTAACCTATAATTCAAAAAATATTCAAATATCTTACTATTAATTATACCAAGCATACATCATAACTTTACTTATCCTAGTCATCACTGACTAGATTGACCTCTTCAGTTTAACAGACTGAAGCAGCAAATTGTCTAAGCTTTGCTGAAGAAAACACCCCAACCAGTTGACCTGTTATAGCACATAGCACATTTTACAGGTCTTCACTGCCCAATAAGAAACTGAAAAGTAGGAGGTACAGCTTCTTTTCACTTCAAAATTTACATGAATACAGTGAAAGATCTGATCTGAATTTTTATAATAAGAATGTTCTTTAAATCACAGTAAAAATGTAAAAAATACCTCTGGAGGTCTTGAAGACAATACTACTCTAACTTTCAGTTTTGCACCATTAATAGAATGCTCCTTTTCATGTTCTATATCTAATATATCATTTATGGGATAAACATGTTTCTGTTAAGAAAAGAAAAAGTAGTAATTTAATACAGTAAGGTAATTTTCATTTAATAATTGTCATTAGTAAGGAGAAATTTTGACTCTAAGCAATGAGCAAACTTATACAAAACTTTTTGAACAAAATTATATTGCTCCTTACTGCAGAAAAATATTTTTTTGCCAAAGTCTGCTCAATTCTCCAGCTTCTATTGTGTTTACAATTAAAAAAACATTGGGCAATATATTTTGTGGTTTAGTCTGGCCACCTTGAAAGACTCAAGATTACAATATTTTGTTGAAATATGCATTTTTCAATTAAAAATGGAATAATATTAAAATTTGAATATTTCAAATTGCATAAAATGCAGGATCTAAGCCCTTTTTTTTATTAATATCTGAGGGTGGGACTCAATGTGTCTGACACGCACACCTCATTTTTCTTTTAAATTAGTAGCCTACTTACTCCATCATAATAAACTCCTGCAGGTTCTTTATAAGGTTGAATTCTTATATTCATTAATTTTTCATCAGTATTGAGTACATTTAACGGTATTCCACTATAATGATCTATACAGTATTCTGAGGCACCCTGAAATATACCCTGTACATATTCTCTCTGCAAGGCATGTGCCTCGTCTGTTTCAACTTGTCCCTTTTGTCTTAGTTCAGCACGTATAGTGGTATACAGAAATACATAACTAATAGGGAAGTAAAATTCCTTTCTACACGTCTTAGGCAAATGTCTCCATATTGAACCAAATTTATAAGATTGTAAAGGGCTATGTGTAGTTGGTATTTCAGATTTCTGATTAGTTACATATTTATAATCATAACTCCATCTAGGTATTCTATAGTCCACAGACACAAATCCCAGCATTTCACTTTGTTTTTCCTCTGTGTATAAGGCTGGTATTCTATTGTTAATAAAGTCATCCCGACACTGAGTAAAAAAATATACACTGACAAATTTATCTTCACGAATTAGTTTGCGATATTCTGGTGGTATATAGAACTGAAATCTATAGTAATAAGTAGGTGATTTAGATGTTAGAGTATCAGTAGAGACTAACCAATATTTGTGTCTTTCATCAATCAAACCAAATAATGGTGCATTGAAGAAGAATAATCCTTGGACACTTGGAAACATGTTTGACAATATTGACAGAAGGTTTTTCCTTGACAGTTTTAGTATATCAGCAACATTGGTAACCTTATGTTCCTTGGTGATGATCAAAGGAGGAATGGTACCATAATATTTGATGGTAATTTTATCAGGTAATTTTGGAGAATTATTGCCCTCACTACTACTTATAGTAGGAGTATTTTCAATAGTGTCTACATCATCAAAATTTTGAACTTCTGTAGAAATTCCTTCTGATGCAATTCCTACTGAAGTTGTGATAAGTCTGGATGCACTGTTCATCTTCGTTTAAAATTTTCTGAAATACTTTCAAAAGAATTATAACATTATGATAATAATATTAAACTTAAAATTACGCATCCATTGTATAATCATATGAATAGATTTCTTAAGGAAGACTTGAAATAATAATGAATAAAGTTAAGTAAATAATAATCACAATGTAATAATGTACCTGTAGGTAATGACTCTTCTTTCAAATGTAATAAAACTAACCCTTGTAACATGCAAACAAATATTCTAAGATGATTCTAACAAGGAGATCTGATGTTTGTCTTTGGGACTATGCTTAACTGGTTCCCCATTCCATCTTATTAAGTTTCGCACCGTGATAAGTGTAGCGTATCAGGGTACAGTCAAGTAACCTAATTTCGTGGAAACCTATTATTCGTGGATTTCCGGAAAGGATTAATAATTTACATGAGCGACCTTGCGCGACCTCCGCATTAGTTTGTTTTGATAAACATGGGTTTTCTCTACAATATCAGCTAGTAGAGTGAATCCAGTAGTTTCAAGCAAGGTAAAATGTATTTATGTATACTTTGACAAATACAAAATGGTGGATTTCAGTTATTACCAAACGTCACCATTTTTTATCGGTCGAATTTCCTTATAATCCCAAGCGGTAATCGGAATTCCAAGTGTCGTCTGCTAGAATGTAGTCCAACGAATGAAGTCACGTGATCAACTAGCAGATTTCGTGTCAGCAGAAAATTTCTACGGAACACAAAGTGGGCCGTATTCTTATGTTATTTCACTGACTTTTAGCAATAAATCACGCTACGTATCTTATTTTGTCAGTCACAATTTTTTTTTTAAAATCGTGGTTCTTTGAAGGAATTGTCACTAGTTATAATGAATTGATATTAAAGATAAATACTAAGAGAAGTTAATTATTCCACCCGGTATCTATACAACGTATTTTCTCGACTTATTTATAGATCAAACATTGTACACGAAAATAGGTGACGCATTCTGCCACCGTTACCGAGTTGGTTGCTCATGAAATATGGGTCAAAGTGAAGGATTCATTAAGAAAATTGAAATAAACCATTTTTAATTATTTTGTAGAATATCTGAGGACACTTCTAAGACATAAAATTTTTTTTTTTGTTTTTTTAACTTTGACGAAATTCGGTGTTGAATCCTTATATCCACGAAATTAGGTTACACCACTGTACTAGTTTAGCACTATGCCGTTCGTCTCTACATGAGTCGCATCACAGTCACAGGTTGTAGCATTTTTCGACAGCTAAAATAGAGTGTCATTTTACCTCTCTTCCTGAACATTAGTTTTCAAATCTTAAGATTTAATTTGTGTTTGTTTGAATAGAATAAATCATTTCTATATTGACACGTATCATTATTTTCTTTAAAACTTGTATCGACCTTTCCTGGAATTTAGGGACCATGCTGTACTTCAAGTACAAAGAGTAACTAAAGGGAGGCTATTTATTGAACATTCAGACAACACTTAACTCATAAGCAATCTCTCAATGTCATATATAACGACACTGCAATCGCTACTTGGAGATTTTGGAACTCATTCTAAAATTGATATGTAAGTGTAGATCTTCTAATAGAAGATAACATTGAAACCTGTAGGCTCCAGATATTCAAACAATAAATTCACATAAGCATACATACATGTATCATGAGTATAGAGTCTATTATGTGGTATAAGGTTCCATAGGAACAAGGCCACTTTAAAATTATGTTGATTGTTTGAGTTATATGTTTGCGCCAATATGAGTGCAAATCCAGTGTAAACCTACTGCATTTCTTGGTTTCAGGATTTAAGTATTGAGTTGTGAGTTACAAGTGAATATTACTTTATTTCCCAATATTAACAGAATATAACAAATGTTTCAATCTAATTACATTTAGAAAGATCAAAATCGCCTTTTATACAACATACCAATTTGAGTGACATATCAATAAATAGGCCTACTGTAGCAGTTTGTTAACAAGCAATAATATGTCAGCCATGATTTTCAGGTAGATCTCGAAATAGTCAAGGGCAATGCTTTAGCAAGCCATCCAACACCATCAAGTCAAAACTGTGAACTTCACAAGCATAGATAGTGTCTTTCAGGGCACTAAGAATAAAAGATAAGAGCAGGCCAGCTAAAATGCTTCATCTGAAATCACTAGTTGAAATATATCCTCTCTTTCTTTGACATTCTTTGCCATTTTGAATGACTAAATTCCAAAGTAAATAAAGTTTTTTATCAATCTTTGTCTTTATGTTTTTGTTTACTGGCCTCTCTTCTACGTTGAGTCATTGGATTTCTAGGGTCGTATATTTCATATCTATCACTATCATGTACATTAGCATCTAATACTTTATTCCGTTTCTCATCAAACTGTAGTTTATGTCTCATCCTGCAATGAGAAATGTAATGATTTTCTTACCATATTTTTAGACAAAATCTTATTGTCCATTCTGATCAAAAATAAAGATCTAGATGTTTTAGTGTATTAATACTCCATCATGTCAAGTGATAGTGAAGAGGTTTTCTAAATTTTGTATGTGTAGCCTATTTGAAACATAATACCGGGTGTTTCGAAATTAGAGCCCCTTCTCCACAGCCTAAATTAAAATAGATATTGACAAAACTAAAGTAACAGGTATCTATTTCTCTATGGGTATCTAATATTTTTTGTGGCTTCCACGTGCCTGTAGTCTTCAGGTTATCATTTCAGTTTAGTGTATTTTAGTTTAGACTGTGGGGGAAGGGGCTCTAAATTCGAAACACCCTGTATGCTTTATCACATAAGGCCCTTTCCAATTAATGACATTTAAACATTTAGTTCTTGTGGAATTGCAGGAACCACAGATGTATGATTGAAAATTGAAAGGGTGCGAATTACTGCTATCAGGGTATCTGATACATATAAAATATTAAGAAACATCTTTACAATTCCTTTAATTTACAGATATATACATACCAAGATAAATCAGAATCATCAGCTGCCTGCTCTTCTTCATCTTTCTCTTTATCTTCATTATCATCATCATCATTATCATCAGAATAGTCACCACCAATAGTTTTAACTGATTCTAATTTATCTTTAAACTTAGATAACATCAGTAATGTCATATCTTCTCTATTTCCACCTTTCTTTCCTATAGTTCTTCTGGTTTTTTCATATTTCTCTTGTTCTTTTTTATATTCTTCTAATGCTGGATTCTTTATCTTCTTTTCTAAAATATATAACAATCATATGGAGGTTAACCCCATCTTCAGGAATGAATTGATGCTGGGGTTCAGATTTTGTACTCAGAAAATTTGAAGAATTAAAGGCCCAGAGAACGCATTTCTGACTATTTTGAGGTGCCAAAAATGTATCAAAAACTATATCTTTTTGATTTTGTACAAGACACTGTAAATTAATCAATTTCTGCTGAACTGAAGAAAGTTTTGCTGGGGCTTAATTCTCACTTGCTGGGGCTCAGCCCTGACAGTCCCCACCCTAAGGACAGGGCTGGGAAGTACAATTATGATGTTTTTTAACATTATGTTTAATAGATATAATGGATAAAAAGTAGATTTTTGTTGTAAAATTGATGTTGAATGGTTAAAATATTTGATACCTTTAACTACTTCCTCTGTCTCATCGTTATCTTTATAACCTCTTTTTAATTCTTTTCTTAACTTTTTACTTTCTTCTTTTAACAGTTCACTGAAAAAAGTCAAAAGTAATCCCAGAAAATTATTATCACCAATTTATACAAAATTGTCTCAAATATTACCTCTTATTTCACTATTTTAGTCCTCAAATATGACTTCACAAATACAATAAGCTTTATTTATAAACCCAATGTATATTTATTGTTTATAGACCAATGTCTAGGGTAAAATAACAACACTGAAGTTTACACAAAAACAAGACTATGGCAGTTAGTATAAGGCAAAATAAAACACAACAATGCACATGTCCAAAAAATTATACATACCTTCTACTTTTTGTAATGGGCTCTATATCAGATTTCTCTTTCTTTTTCTTAACAGAAGTTAAATTATGTTTCTTGTCTTCAGGTTGTGTATCTGAGGAATCTGACTGGAATATCAAATTAGTTCAAAATTGAAACAAAAAAAATTACTGATCAATACTATCAATCTGATAAGTATGTTCTGTGGGTTGCTTCACTCGAGCCATGATCTGGAGACATTCCTACCAAAGGCATGTTCATAACTTCAACCAATCCTTGTTCAGTAAACAATTAATTCTTTTATCTTCATTACTTTCCTTAACTATTTTGTCAATTAATATCAAACTTTGATTTCAGATGGGTGTTGTCAGATCATACTTTGAATGGAAAAATCAACAAGAAAACACAAGAAAAATATCTTTTCTGAAACATGTCTCAGTCTGGTATTCATTCCAGGAATAATATAATCATATATAAACAATGAATCAGTTATTCATATACCTCACTAGAATCATCTCCACTCTCAACTTTCTTCATAACTTTATCATTTTTATCATCTGATTTAATTTCTACAGCTGGTTTAGAACTTAATCTAGGATCATCTGTTAAATCATGACTACTTTTACTCTTAATCCTCATATCCTACATTAACATAATGAATAATGACTGATAATGAATAATGAACAATAATGGATAATGAATAATAATAATCAGTTATTAGTGTAGAGAAAATAAGCTTTTCCATAAATTGTCCTAGGATTAATAAACATAATTCTAACTCTGCTGTAAGACTATACCAAGTAAATCGGCACATAACTACCACAAAGGTATGATAGCATCCTACTAAAAAAGCTGAAACAAGACCTTTATAACAAATACAGAACTTATCATGAGAAAGCTTAAATACAAACCAGTTTCCCTAAATGTTATATTTGACAGATAAGTACCGGCGGTCTTTGACAGATAAAGATAAGTAGATATATTAGTATTAAAATGAATTTCTTTGTAATACCTTTGTAACCTGAACATTTTCTTCTTCATCTTCTTCTGCTTCTTCGCCAAAAGATAACAAATTAAAATTTCTGAAACAAAAATGAAATTGAAAAGTCATCCAACAAATGATTGAATAACAATGGCTTTTCCAATACATTTGCATTCATAGAAAACAATTAAGAGAATCTTGTCAACCACTTGCACAACATCAAATTACAGCGTTATTTTAGTTTCACTCCACAGGCCAGAAAGGGCAATACCTCAGACATATGATGGACAATTTCAAGATCACATATAACATATGAAAATATTGATCAAAACCTGATTAAAAATGTAACATCTTTGAGAACAGCATGTTGCGTGAAAGATCCATACATAAAATTGTACACTAAACATTAGAAACTTTATTATACTTTGTTGCTTTAGATTGGCTTTTAGGTTTGACAGCTTCTGTCTTGTCTTTTTTCTTCTTTAAAACTCTTGGTATAATATCATCAAATGGATTTGATAATACCTGAAAGAGTAAACGAGCATACAGATAAATAAACAAAAACAGGGCCATCTTCCAGTCTGCAATTTGAGTCACTGCAAAATTTGTTGGACTTGATGCCTGAAATATTGCTTCTGAAATGTACATAATTGCTTGACACAGGTACAACAAAAAATGTTTATTGTGCTGTAGAACCACATTATACCTGTGTTTTGATGATTCTGTAAGGATGAAATGGTCTTTCATTGCCATCTACTTCAGATTCTTGCAACTTTATCATATTATAGACAGTATTACCAGCCACCTGAATATAAATAATACGAAAACAAATCTATTAACACAAAGGAACAAAAAAGAACAATTTTCTAACTGCTGTATATATAGCAGAATTTTATCAAGGCCCATCTTAAAGAATGTAAATATAATAACCACAAGGATTTAGAAATACTTAAAGTTACTTACTTTACCAAATATGGTATGTTTATTTTGTAATTCTGGTGCAGGTGCCATTGTGAAGAAAAACTGACTGCCATTATCATGAGCACCAGCATTTGCCATGGCAACCAAACCCCTTCTGTTGAATTTGAGTCTTGAATGAAATTCATCCTAAATAGTAAGAAAATTAGAGAATCCTTTAGTTTTCTTTTGTAGTTATTTGCATAGCTTCATATTCATAAAAACAATTTTGATAGATATTATATACCGGTATTGGAAATGTAGAATCCATACCTTTATTTTTCTAAGACAAAAGCATTAGTTTCTGAAACTAAGTTACTTACTTTAAAAGGTTTCCCATAGATAGATTCACCACCTTCACCAGTACCTGTTGGATCTCCACCTTGTACTATAAAATCTTTAACTACTCGATGAAATATCAAACCATCATAATAACCTTCCATACATAGCTGAATAAAGTTCCGACAAGCTTTTGGTGTTTCTTTAGACCATAATTCAACATCTATATCACCAGCAGAAGTTTCTAGCAAAACCTAAAACAATAAAAGATATCAATGTTGTTATAATTACCAATATTACTGAGTGCCAGTTTAATCAAAATTTGTAAAAAAATAACAGATTGCTTAATCGCTAAAATTGATTTTAAGTAAAAATTACCATATTTTTTAAAATCTGACATTTATCTTAGTAAAAATTTTGTGAAATTGTGACTGAATTAGAACAATAGCATGATATTTAGTATGTTATAGTGGTATAGTATTTCCATTTACCAAAAATAAATCCAATAACAAACATCTGATTCAAATGGTTTACTTGATTTTTTGAACCATATTGCTGGTCAAATATGCGAAACAATTTCAAATGAATGATGACTAACTACAAAAAGTTCACCAGCACAACAATGCCAGCAAGCAGCTGTGCAGCAAACTCACCTTTTGTTACTCTCTGACTACATTGAGCTTTGAATTTAATTTTTTCCCTCATTTCATGAATATTCAAAATAAAATTTTGAACTGTGTGTCATTTGTCTTAGAATGTTTTCGGGTCCATAGAGATATAAAGTTCAGTGAATTTGCTTTTTAAATACCGGTACATCACACATCCCTCCCAGAAAATTCACTAGAAAAACTCTTTCAGTGATTAATATTTTCATCAACCCAAAGGCAATCCAAGCCGCACAGTAGTATTTTGTAGTTGATATTTCAATTCATTCGAAAATGATTCAACAAAATTCAATTCAGAATTCAATGTAGGACCTAGTCAGAGAGTAGTTTTAACCTACATAACATAGTACAGACAACATACTTCCCCAAATTACACAAGAACAGGGTCAAATACCTTGCCAGATGTGGGTGGTTCGTTGATGTATATATTGCTCATTTTGTTATTAAAATACACATGTACTTAAAAAAAAGTTACTTCAATCTGATCTTATTATAAAATCTGGGTCTATTTGTAAACAATCATGGGCGCAGCCATCTTGAAAATAGTGTACTAGTCGATAAAAGTTTAATTTGATATTTTCCATTATAACAGAATACAATAATCCTATTTCAATTATTTGCAAACTAATTAACCAATCATCTAAAATTGTCATAGTACAAATCATAATAATTATAAGAACATTTAAAGTACACATTACCATATCAATTATCGGTTAGTTGACAAATAAAAGTACCGGTAACTTCCGGTTTTCAAGAATATATGGTACGCAAACCAATCGTACAAGCTTGAAACGGTTTGAAAATGCATCATGATGCTCAAGGTATTTTATCACTTAGAGTGTCTACTATGTCTAACAGTGGTTGCCCCCTTTACAAGTTCCTCCAATAGCGGTTAACCCATTGGCAGATTTAACTGTTCAATAATCAGTGTGTTGAATGGGAAGTAAACATGCAACTTGGTTAGGCCTATGCTGATTCATGGTCATTTATTTAAGGTGATTTAACTTGTACCGTGCTGATAATCGGCTGATACATTTTGCTTGAATAAAAACACCTCTTGCGTAAGGTACTTGTCTCACTAAATTACTCTGAATTACGGCTTATGCCTTGTATTTATTAGGCTATTTGTGATTTGAATCTCTCAACTCCTAAATTTCTTATTGTCATTTAAATCATATCAATTTGTTACTTAAACTTTTTTAGGAATTATTTCAAAATTTAACAACAAAACAAATGATGGACTGAGAGCAGCTTGTAAGAAATGTGGATATGGTGAGTGTTTTTTAAATAAAACAATATGAGCTTTATTAGGCCTAGAGATACCCAGTCTTTGTTTTGTCAAGAAAGGGATCAGGAACATGAAAATACTAACTGGTTGACAGCAGTGACAGTTAATATTTTTGTCTATTAGTATTTTTTTTTCAATTCCATTACAGCCTTTTATCATACATCTGTAGTTTCTGTAATTTCAGAAAAACTTGACTCTATTGCATAAACCATTATTTTTTCAAATTTTTTATTAAATAGACGCTAGGCCTATAATTCGTCTAAATCATGTGCATACAAGTAACTTAGTAACTTTTGAATCAAAACAAGATAAACATTGTGTAGAAATTTGTTTGTTTTATTTAAATGATTTATATTTCAGCTGGACATTTAACATTTCAATGTCGTAATTTTATAAAAGCTGATCCACAGAAAGAAGTTGTATTAGATATTAGCAGTACTAGCTCCGATAGTGAAGAAGACAATTTTGTTTCCCCATTAACACAGCTCAAAAATGGTAGGTTGGAAAATCCTTAACCTTATAAAAAGTATAGTAGCTCAATTTAAACTATCTTTATCACTTTTCAGAATAAATTGCTGTATATAATTTGACAGGCAACAAAAAAAAACAATTTAGGAATGAGCTCTTCCAATACACATACACTGAATCATAGGCTCCTACTGTTTGAAAGTATGTATGTGTAGAAGAGTGAAGACTAGAAGTTGAAGGGTATCAACTAGATTACTGGCACACTTTTTCCAGCCTGGGAATTGCATATGAAATTGTATATGTTTTGTCTTCAATTAATTAACAAACTTTGATCTCAATTTTCCAGAACTATATTCTTATACATGTATATGGTTATTTTTAACCGATCATCACCAATGTAAATCTTGCATATTTTGACTTTGAATTTTGACTTTTGAAAATATATTTTTCAATGTACAGAAGAAAAGACAAAACAACATAAGAAGAAGCATAAAAAGCACAAAGAAGAGAAAAAGAAGAAGAAAAAGTAAGACAAATGTAGCTTTATGAAACACTTATGTAGGAATATATATTCATTCAGATCAATATGAACAGAAACAATTGAATTACCGGCTTTATTTATTTTTTTTTATCATTTTCTGTGGGCTACTTCACTCATTCTAGATGTAACAATATTCTCCTGTAAATATAGTTTCTCTATTTTGACTCAAGAGATAATTTATGTTATGATATTGTCATGTAAATATTCATTTGAATGTTAATAACATTCAGGGAGTGACAATGTTCAGTCAAGGCATTAAATCCAGAAAAGTGACAAGAGTGGCTGAAAAATAAACTGTATTGGTATATTAAAAACTAAGACAGTCACAACCTATGAATCCAGAAAAGACATAATTGAAGTCACCTGTTTGCTTCAAAAAACATCCATCAATATGCTTGTCTTTTGTAGAAAACATAGATCAAGATCACCAGTGAAAAAGAAGAAATCTCATAATAAGAAGAAGAAAGAAGAAAGGAAGAGAGTGACTCTGATAGTGATAGTGACTCTGATGACAGTGATAGTGACTCTGAGTCAGATGATAGTGATTCATACAAACGTAAAAACCGACACAAGAAACGTAAAAAACACAGAAAATCAGGAAAGAGAAAGAAAGATAGAGGTAGTGATAGTTCAGACAGTGACACTGATTAATTCCATTGTATATTTTTCACATTCATATGACTATATTCCTCATTTCATTTTTAAATTCAGTAAAAGGCCATATTGACTACTTTATCCATCATCAACATTTCATTGTTTATTTGTATGTGTTAATATTTTATGAATTGTTTCAGCAAAGAGGAATTTTAAAAAACTTTGTCTAGTATTTTCTAAATGAAATAAAAAATGAAGTTGCATGTGCAATTGAATGATTTAATTGGCAGATAAAGGAGTGTAAATATTGTTTTTAGTTTCTTGACCATTGGTCAGTGTTGTTTTGTAAACGGTCTTGAATGATAGAAAGTATGAATTTGTTTCAGTACGAACATGTAATTACTATATGAATAAAAACTGATTTTTTTAGTGGTTTTCAAATTTCGACAGTTGGAAATCAAAAAAGACTAGTTTATGCTACTGTCCTGGTAAAATTACCCTCATTGAACACTGCATGGTGTTACCCGTCTTCAATAGCCCATAAGGTGCATTTAAGTGGAATGCTTATGATTTGAACTAGACTGGTATGTGAGAAAATAATATACATTGCTAGTTATTGATACATGTACAGTTTGATACACAGTGTGACCTAATTAAACATGTGTATGTGATTATTACTATCTGATATTAATAATCCTAATTGGATGAAATTACGTCATAATGTTACACAACTAAATGCGCATCTAAAGAAAAAATACATCATTTAGCTGTAGTCTGTAATATCTTAAGGAAGAGTTGCCTCCCATTAATAGTAAATGATCATATTTTATGGCATCTGGTGTTATCCTGCGTGAACTAGATTTGAACCCCTGGAGGTAGTTTGAAGATAATAATAGTACCACAGTAGTTGAAAACGACGCATTTAGTTCCCGTCATATAGTTATATCAACATGTATTGGGCACCATAAACTCTCAAAATGTAAGTTTTTATTATCATCATTGTGTATTTTTCATTGTGTCAAAAAGTGATAATTTCTAAAGTACGACTAAGTGAAAAACATTGAGTTCGAATTTATTTTCGACAACAAATGTCGTGACATAGGAAACTTCACCAGTCTCTATGTAACTTGTGAGTTGTGTATTTCTATTTATCTTACTCCTACCGTAGTCAATCTATCTACTGATGAAGTAATTAAGCATAGGTCAACTGCAAATGGTAAAGTTTAATGACATTTTTTTTTCTTTTTTTGATTGGATATTTTGATCCTTTGTCTTCGAAAACTATCATTAAAGCTGATATCATTTCAAAACTTGCATTTATTTAACAACTAATAGTTAGCATTTTTGACCGTCGAAACGACTTATAGGCTATATTGAAAACTCAACTGCGCCGTTAAGATATTATGCAAGATGTAAATATATGCTCAGCCAGCCTCTTATACAAGATATGTTGATATTTCTTGAAATCATGGCACCTTGACCTATAAATAGAACACAGTAGTCTTTGAATGTAGGTTGAAGCTCTACTCTATAAATCTAAACAAATGCCTCAGTGTAAGTTTACATTACATACAATAGTAAATACCCAACAAACTTCCGTATACATTCTGTTCTTCTATATTGATATTATAACCAATCAAAACTAAACCATCTAGGGTTGAGAATAGAATTTATTCGGAAAGGATAGTACTACTTGACAGTGTTCTTTTGAGATATATTGTTTCCCTTTTGCAATTAGAGAAAGACGCTCGGACGACCTATCTTTGGCATATTACATTGGATCTGATAGTAAACTTGGGCTGTTGGAATCTGCAACCATCCAGTTGATCTCAGTTATTAGTAATTCAATTATCGACCTGAGTTTCCCTTGGTTTCACTGTGTCTATCCCAGACTAATCTCTTGTGATGTACTGAGACTTAATCTGCATAATGTCATGCAAGCAACGATTAGCTTGATCCCCTCCACAAATATCTGATTTATTTGAGAATAATCAATCTCATTAGACAAACTGGCATGTTTTATAGTCCTTTTATTTTTTTCATCACGCTATCTTTGGTACAAGTCGATTATCACTTGGTGAAAGAAAACATGGTTTAATATATAACAGGCTTTATTGACTCGGTTAAACTGGAATGAATATTTTATTGTGTTTTAAGATCGGAATTAAAAAGGTTCCGTCGTCTTAAAATTTGCTTTTTATCTGATGAGTCTCATTTATCAAACTTTTATCTTTTTTCAATATCAAACGTGACGTCCAGTTCTCCTGCAATTAAACAGAAATGTACATTCAAACTTCCATGATGAAGTAGTATCATGCAATCAGGATATCATTATCATCGGCCCTGACTGCCCACAAAGGGGCTTAATGACGATCTGGCGGTCTAAACTACCGCGACACAACGTCGGTTGTCTGCAATTATGTAACTGACAAACCGAATGAATCTACGTAAATCACATTACCGATGATCAAACCTTAGCCCTTGGTGATCATGAAAGACACGACAGTGATGGTGATCCTACTTTGCATTGATGCACTGGATTATATCTTGCCTTTTAATCTAATGTATTTCCCTTTTTTGTATATTTCCAGATGGATTTTCGAACTTATTTGTTACGTGCTGCTCAACTATTTGACGAAGAAGAGTGGAGATCTCGTGATAAATCTCCCGAGGAAGAAGAAGGAGATACCAGATGGGGAAATTGTTTACCAGAAATATTATTAGAAGATATTTTCTCTTTGTTGGTACCTAAACACAGACATGAAGCTTCCCAAGTCTGCAGGACGTGGTACCAGGCATTTTATGCTCCGAGAGTTTGGGGGACGTTTGTTCTTATGGAAACTACATTAACCAAACGAAGATTTAACTTATATAAAGGTTACCAGAGAGAACTGTGTCCAAGAAAAACTCAAGTTTGTCTTCAGCGAGTTGGACATCTTTTCAAGAAGATCATTATTACACCGTTAAGTGATTTTTATAATTTGTATGAATTTCTGCGAGTTCTCTCAGCTTTCTTGGAGTATTATGAGGAGCATGAAGAATATCCAATGCCTCTTCTCAAAACTTTTGATTTTACTTTTGCTTGCGAGAATCGCGGAATGACTGGATCTATTGTTCATGGAACTGGTGGAAAAATCTTACAGATTCTAGAAACATTGCTTGGAAATATGATTGGTTTAAAACACGTTAGCGTGAATCAGCTTCTGTTGGGTCCAGAAGAAGTACCTGGGTTGATGGAATCACTTGCCAAGAACTGTGCCGAAAGTCTTCAAACGTTAGAGCTTCTCAACTGTTGTAAAGTTCCTTACCCAATGTCAGATATTACTCAATTTGGTAATCTGCATACCCTAACAATTAGTCCACAACATCTTGATGACGAGATGCTCTTATTGTTAGCTGGAATGGGACTGGGAAAGCTTCATATTGTTCAAGATGCCTACACTTGTGATACGGAACCTATCAATTACGAAGTTTGGAAATTGGTCAAAGAAATGGCACCAAATTTCAGGGTATCCCTTTCCTTGCGTGGGCTGACAAAGAAAGAAATCGTGATACAACCCCATGCCCCAGTTTACTGTGTTGTCTACAGAGCACCATATTCTAAAATTAACTTGGACTTTGCTAGTTCTTTATGTGATTATTACCCACGATATTTAGAAGTTTATGCACAAGAAGGTTTTCCACGTAGTCATGGCAGTCGCTCGTTTGTAGATCGTGGCGACACAACCTTTGTACATCTTGTTAGAATATGCCCACGATTGAAGACCCTTGTCATTAGAGAACGTATATCGTATGCTACTCTGTTGATTATAGCATCATTGGGGAAGAACCTAGAGAATCTGGTTGTCAGAGAAAATGCACTGATAAAGAAAATGGACTGGCCTATGCTGAGTGGATGGACTGACGATTTTTACAGATTCCTGAAGAAGAATTCTAAGAATCTCGAAGACACTACAAGAGAGGTATCCATGTTGCTGAAGAAATCCTGGAAACCGTTACGAGATGAGGATTTCAAGAAAGTCAGCATCAAGCTATGAGCTATAAATGTTATCAAAATGGCTTCCATGAAAAAGAGGTTCATTGAAACCCTAACTGCAATTGTTGTTTCTGTACCGTCGCTTCAGATCAAACTGTATAAATAACAACTAAACAACAGCTAAATGATCAAAACAACCAGCATAAAACACCGCTAGAACTTCTGTGTTAATATCACTTATGCAGAAAGAACAGAAAATTACTTAGACCAGTCTTAAGTGTAAGTTATAAGATCTCTTATTCATGCTGCAAAATGATCTCAGGGTCTTTTGTGAATTGTGTTCTAGTAAGATTCAGGGTTTGCATGCTGGCAGAAAATAATGGATAATGAGCAAAAGCCGTAATGATTTAATGTGATTTTATGAAAATAACGCCAAAATAACTAATAAGGCTAATATATTTTTGTGAATTTTTGAATTTTTTGAATTTGTGGTTTTAAATTTTTGACTTTTGTTTTGAATTTTGCCATTTTTATTCTGCTACATTGATTTTGAATAAAAAATTAAACTCGGAATTCATTTAACACTTTCTTAAGCTGCTTTCATAAGAAAAGGCGAAGTTGAGTTGGATTCCCAACAATGTATTCTCTGTACGCAAGATTCTCGTGGATTTGTGTGAGTTTGGTCAAACTCCCACAACAATATATGTAATATTGTGGCAGTTGCATGTCGTCACTTTTCAGATTCTGCTCGTCAAAAAAAGTTCACCTGCACCTCCCTTACGCTTCATATTATTCTTATATGCAGAAATTTCAAACGACAAATTACTAAGTTTTTAACCTTCCTGAGTTTAGAGCACGAAACGAAAGTCATAAGATTCCTTAATAGGATGTTTTGTTATGAATCAATGAGGTGATAAAAGAAAAAATAATTGGCTGTAAATTAATAACGTGCAAAACACAATCATATGAAGGCCCATGATTTGAAATGAAATGAATGGAGTTTTACGTCCTACATGTGGGCAACACCATGTAGGGTGCAATGATTGAAATTTTGCCAAGAAAACAGCATTAGCCTACTCTTTTTCTTTCCAACTGTCGAGGGATCTTTAAAGACTGTAGCACACGGGGCCTCGGTTTCAAACGACTGGACGCTTTTTTCATGTCAGACCATCTTACCTGCTGGGATTGAATGCACTCTGCACCTTTAGATTAGCCAGCAAGCGTCTAACTCACTGATTTACCTCTATGGAACAGAAAAGTCAACTTCATGTTGCAGGAAATTAGACTTTTGCTATAATTAATCTACGTATGTTTTTGAACAATTTCGCCCCAATTACCAATTTTCTACAAGGTTAGTGAGCTTTATTTTAAAGAGGAGGGCAGATCGCCAACGTGACTTGCATGAACTCTACCATCAGATGTTATGGTGATACCAGATTCGGGATTAAGGCGATCTGAAATTATACTGACAACTGAAAAATTGCAGTCGCTATCAGTTACTCTTGTTATTCATCAATATGGTACTCGACCTAACCAGAGCTGTCGAAATTTGAGATCAACGAGCTGCTCGCTGCCCTTCAAATGAGCAAACCACTAGGCCATCGACCCTAGGGTTAAGGTTGGGGTTAACCCTAGTTTTGAAAAATCATTTATAGGGTTAGTCCAGGAAAGGTTAATATTTCTCTTTAAACTATTATACAAAAATTAAGCTATTTGCTGTCGTAATAACAGTTCAGTCAAACTACCCTACGACATATTGTTACATTGTGCTTTGTGGCTAGCGGAGTAGAATTATACATGTACATCTCTCTATAACACATAACATCACTCTGCATCAACGTATATCACTTGGCCACCCCTTTGTCCGCATGGTTCTTACATGCACATAACACACGCGAAAGTAGTTCAGAGCCATTTTGAATCACTGCCCTTCAAGTTGATTTTAAAAAGGCTGGAATATGTTAACAAAGTCTTCAAATCACTTTTAAAACTATTTTTAAACCTTTAAATGTGATTTGAAGGCTTTGTTGAAATATTATAACCTTTAACGAAATTCGACTTTAAATGTGTGTTATTTCCATGTTAGAACCACTAGCCTCACTGATATGTATTAGGATGTTTTTTTGCAATAATGCAAATCATCCTGTAATTCTTTTACAATCTGGCCGGTGTATGTAGGCTTTTGATTTTTGCTTTTCATTCATCCTTATATTTGTAACAATATTTAACAAGCATTGTTGTCATGGTGACAGTTTGATGTATTGATTTAAAGGATATTAATTAATCATTGTGTAACATGTGGATATTTTTATTTTTCACTCATTATTTTAATATCGACAAGAAAACTAGAAAATAAAATGTTTGTTTGTTGAATAACTGATAAATCTTGTATTGTATAGAGATGTCACAATTCACGTGTTGTATTCATCGACAGGTAGGTGACAATTAAACATCAATAATGCTTAGAATTGTTCTTTACTTTAACCCTTTTACTGCCTATTCAAGCATAATGAATGAAATTGAATGGGAATAACGGTAATATAATGGGATCGATAGAAAGCGATGGGAAGTTTTAAAGGTATGAGGTAACTGATTGTAAGTAGGTCGGGGACTTTTGACCTTTAGCCCAGCCTTCATTTTTGCACGTGCATGTATTTAAATTCCCAATTTTTTAAAGATGCTTTTTAACTGGCGTAATCATGAATGTAGTTTTATTCCACCAAACATGCAGCTCGTGTGTTTCTCATTTTTAGAGTTGTTTCCCTTTTTACCTAACGCAAATCTGTCAAATATAATAGGCTCCATTTAGGTCTACACCAGCTGTAGCCTCCTGGAACTTATGGTACAAATAGGGGGCGATGTGACTCGATGAGGGGGAGGGGGGACAACTGTTGGGGTTGAGATTCCAAATGCGGAAGCGCTGCTATAGTGCCATAGGTTTAAGCTCCCATAAAGGGTCTGCTGGGGGTTTAAAAGTTTTGAAAAAATTGTTCCGGTGCACACTTGCACATATTTTAGGCGAACACGCTGGTTTGAGCTAATCGTTGGCCGCGAATTAGTGGATTTTTTAGGGGTTTTTTGCCACGCATTCACTGGGCTGAATTGGAGTTTACAAGATTATTACAGTTGAGTAACCTAATTTCGTGGAAACCTATTATTTGTGGATTTCCGGAAAGGATTAATAATTTACATGAGCGACCTTGCGCGTCCTCCGCATTAGTTTGTTTTGATAAACATGGGTTTTCTCTACAATATCAGCTAGTAGAGTGAATCCAGTAGTTTCAAGCAAGGTAAAATGTATTAATGTATACTTTGACAAATACAAAATGGCGGATTTCACTTATTACCAAACATCATTTTTTTTCGGCCGAATTTCATTATAATCCCGAGCTTTAACCGGAATTCCAAGTGTCGTCTGCTAGAATATAATCCAACGAATGAAGTCACGTGATCAATTAGCGGATTCCGTGTCAGCAGAAAATTTCTATGGAACACAAAGTGGACCATATTCTTATGTTGTTTCAGTGACTTTTAGCAATAAATCACTCTACGTATCTTATTTTGTCAGACACTATTTTTTTTTTAAATCGTGCTTCTTTGAAGGAATTGTCACTAGTTATAATGAATTGATATTAAAGATAAATACTAAGAGAAGTTAATTACATCACCCGGTATCCATAAGTTTTTCTAGACTTATTTATAGATAAAACATTGTACACGAAAATAGGTGACGCATTCTGCCGCCGTTCCCGAGTTGGTTGCTCATGAAATATGGGTCAAAGTGAAGGATTCATTAAGAAAATCGAAATAAACCAATTTCTATTATTTTGTAGAATATCTGAGGAAACATCTAAGACATAAATTTTTTTTTTGTTTTTTTATCTGTGACGAAATTCGGTGTTGAATCCTTATATCCACGAAAATAGGTTACATCACTGTATGGCTACAGACAGAAACAGGAACCAAAACCTAACAGAGACTAAACGAAGGTGAACAAGGAGCCTGATAGACTTGTCGCCATGTCATTAGTAATTTTGAAACGTGACCTTCACAAAATCTAAAACCTTAGGTAGACTAGTCTGTAGGTATCATTATGGAGTCATATGCTATTCATTTTGGTAATAGATTAGAGATTAGGGTGGTTGGTAATATATTAATGTAAAGCAAAGTATCACACAATGAGTCCAGGTTGCCGAAACAACGAGCCCCGTCATAAATCCGTCTGAAATTTCATTGACCTTCACATGAGTACCAATCTCTATCAATTCACACAGTTAACCATAAACTAAAAATGTTCAAAGATCCCTTTATTTGTAACCTTACCCTTTCTGTCAGTCTATTCCGACCGTCGGGGAAATCAAATAAATCAATTTCTAGGGTAGGAGGTCTATCGTATTTTTGTCGCATCATCAATCACATTATAAGCCCATTGATAATAAAACGATCCCCTTTTCGAGTTGTAATCCTTCTTTTTTTTCAGTTATTATTCGACATAAAAATTGCCTTGACAAGCACGTACAATAAAAAAAAGTGTAAACAAAACCACGCGCGTCGCAGGGCGCAGACATTTTAGGTTATAGGTCACGTGATTGAACGAGGCTGGCAGAAGCCGTGTCCATAAAATCATTTCAAATGAAACTCAAGTTGAGATAAGTTGGTTAGGTTTCGCCTCAAAGATTTTTAAGGTGTTTGTGACTTGACGTTAAGATACTCCATGTGTATTTTGGAATATTAGATAAGAAATTACAGGATGATACTCCGGATTCTACTCACTATGGCTTTAGTTATGCAGTCTGTTTTCGGTAAGCTAATATTTTTTAATTTCAACTCTTTGACGCATCGTATATTTTCGGTATAATTGACGCCAAACTTTCTTCCTCGGTTTTATTTGCATACTTCTCAACCAAGTGTGATGTTTGGAATTACAGAAATAGAATATTTGTTGAACCATTTAAAAGCTAAAACGACTCAGGGAGGCTGTAAAAGCTGATAATAAAAACATAACAGTAAACTTCTAGCAGACGAATTTTATTTTCATAGTCTTCAACATTACACTTCTATTCTCACGTGCAATTCATTTTTAATGGTCTACTTCATAACGGAATTGTGAGACCGATTGCGATATTTAAAGTTAAATATGATATTTAATCTACAATAAATAGACACAAAGTTGAAGATATTTGACTGATAATTTCTGTTTTTAGCTTCTGATTTATAATAAACATAGTGTAAGGTAAAGATACAAAGTTGCGGTCCATTTACATCCCGTTAAAAGCCTACTAGAATTTTACATGAAGTAGAGTTTCTCAGCTGATGAGTGAAAAGTATGAATGCTATCGATTTCTGTTACAGAAAATTCTTACTAGGCCTATATTATAGTAAAAAAAACTTTTGTGGCATTGTCTAAGTTGCAACAGATTGCACTCTTTTTTTTATGACTATGAGAAAACAATGGTAGTTTTTCAAGGTTCATTTAAGCAATTTGAGTTTGAACTACATTTAAAGTAGATCTTATTATTTTACCATTTTTGTGACATCTTGAAAATTTCGTATTGAAATTTTATTGATGAAAA